AATTAGCGAGAAAATGGCCAGCCAAAGATAGATGAGTTTTAAAGATAAAGTGTCCTTGTTTGTGTGTGTTTGTAAAGTGTTTTACGGCGCTCGCAACTGCATAAGGTCAAATGAGCGCGCGGAACACACCTAATATTTTCAGTTGGTAGGAAATTTTGAATTTTGCCCGGGTGGCGGCCGAAGCCTACTCTTATCGATTTTCGACCACCAAAGGATCTTTAACGTGCGCAACTTGCACACGGGCCCTCCAAGACTGTTCGCCCTTGTCTGAGAAGACTAGGTGTAGATCTTTCCTACCAAAAGATCAGGGGTGTGGCAGAAAGACAGCAGTAAGGAGGAGCCAAGGAGTAGCAGTAGAAAGGCTGCAGAAAGAGTCAGGAGCCCAGAGTAGGTGTCCTTGGAAACTGAAAAGTTATATTTTTGTTCTTTTCGCCAACGTTTTCTTTTCAGAAAATCTAGACAGAAATGTGTTCTTTATTGGGCATAAACCGTTTTAAGCTGATAAAAAAGTAAAATCGATATAAATTGCCCCCCCCCCCCAAAAAAAAAGGAAAAATATCATGTCGGCTTCTTTAATTACATCATTTTGACAAGCGCCTGATTTCTTCATGGCGCCACACAAATGTAGACAAGTTGTTCCAAATGAAAAGTGATAAGGCAAGCTCTATCGTAACTTTTAAATGGTAAAATACATTTGCCATTGTAAGCTGTAAGAAGAGGTTACTTTGATGGGTAGTGGGCACGTGCTCTAGTGCTGTGGTGATATGGTATGTCCCTTCTTTCTTATCAAAGATTTATAGTCTTTATCTTTCTTTTTTATGTTTGTTACTTTCTTGTATCACCTCTAATCTTCGTCTTCACGTATATGGCCTCATTGCAAGTGCCGTAAAACTCCTACTAAAACAAACAAATCAAACACAAAACCTGCGATGTAAAAAAGGATCATGTAAAAAGTAACGCTACCTCTCGACCACCCAGGCGGAGTTTACAACGCGACGGAGTTCAAACCCTTCTGCCTTCAGTTCCGACCCGGTCTCTTCGGGCAAGGCGTAGAAGACTGTCTTTACCTCAATGTCTACACACCGACCTCTGACCCCAGGCGGAAACCCAGGAAGGTCAGTGAGCATGCGCAAACTATAATATTTTAGAAATTAATTAATTTGTTTGTTTGTAGTTGTTTGTTTGTTGTGCTTTTTTTTCTTCAGTGTTTCTTATGTTTGCTGTATGTTTATTTATAGGTGGTTGGCGGGTGTCCAGGTGAGGATTGCTGGAATTTTCCTATCAAACATCCAGTCTCCTTATATCTCCTGCTTGTTTGTTTTTTGTTAATTACTCTATTGCAACATTTCTAATCTTCGGCATTTTTCTGACCTTATAGTTTTTCAAGAGCCGTGCGTAAATCTCTTCCTAAAACTTAACTATACTGTATGTCTGCTTCATGCTCGTCTATATGTCCGTCTACAGAACTAACAGTGTCTGCCAGTTCCTCTTGATTCTGCCTGCCGGTTCGCCAAGTCCATTATATATGTCAGGCAGCGTGGTGGAATCAGGCTCAAGTCAGTTTTTGGGCATGTAGAGTTATTGGTGTCATCTTAAAGCTTGTTCACTTGTCTTTATTTGGATGAAAAAAGTATCCATTTATCTTGAATACAAGTCGAGATATTAAAGAAAGAAGGAGGTAGGGGTCCTGTTTTCACAGGTAAAATTAGTGAGAAAATGGCCGCCACAGATTAGTTATTTCCTTCGCTTAAGAGTCCGTGGTAACTGAAAATTTACATTCTATGAGCCTTTAATCTACGTTTTTATGAAAAAAAATCCACACAGAAATGAGTTCTTTAATGGGCATGAAAGGTGTTGAGCCAAAAAACAAAAATGTGATAAAAATTCACAAACCTGCGGAAAAATGCAAGTTTCTTCACTTTGATTATTTTGACGAGAGCCTAATTCCACCACGCTGCTTCACAAATATGTCAGAAGTGTTGGGGATTTTCAATGGGTTTCTATGTATGTTTGTTGTCCTGATTATTATCATTATATTCCGGCACGACTGTCATTGTCTGTCTCCTTGGGAATATTTGCAAGTGTCTCTTACTTCTGAAAACCGGTTCGTCAATTTGATTAAATGTATCAGAAGTTGTGGGGTTTTTAAAACATTTTTTTTTATGTTTGTTTATTATTTGATTCTACTTCAATTCTATATTTGTCTACGTTACCTTCTCTTCAATGACGTAAGTCAGTTTCTCTGAATTATGCTTGTCTGTTTCACTGGTCATCTCAACATTTTTATACGCCTGCGAGTCGTGGACACTGACAGCAGAATTAGAGAAAAAGATTCAGACCACAGAGATGAGATGTTACCGCAGACTCCTTGACATCTCGTACCAAGACCACTTTTCAAATGCTGAGGTACGAAAGAGAATCACCAACGCAGTGGGCAGCATGAAGATCTACTGACGACAGTGAAGAGACGAAAATTAAAATGGTATGGGTATGTCACAAGATCCACAGGACTTGCCAAAACAATCTTGCAAGGAACCGTACAAGGAAAGAGAAAGAGAGGAAGGCAGGGAAGGAGATGGGAGGACAACATTACAGAGTGGACAGGAAAGACGATGGGTGACAATCTGAGGAAAGCAGAGGACAAAATAGATGGCAAGAGCTGGTTTTCAGATGCAGTGCTGCCCCCACGGTTGCCCCAACCACGGGATAGAAGAAGAAGAAGTTTCTTAATTCCATGTTCAGGGGTTTGAGGCTCAGCTTTTTCCAACGTTGAGTCTTTGGCAAAGACACTATACTCGAATTTCCCAATTGGCTTTGCCCTATCGAAGTTGGGCATAAAATTCGGAGGTTCCACATCTATAAACTTACAGTGTTGAAAGCAGCGTTTAACTTATAACATTTGTTTCACTGAATTAAATTATGTATCTTTTGTTGTGTGTTTGAATTGCGCCTTTGTAACTGTCCTGTAAATGATTACGTTTGTCCATTTATTATTACGCTTATAAATAAGTCTGATTGCCTAATAGTTGGGATGTTGTACCCCTCTCAGTCTGTGTCGGCCCGGACAATTGCAGGGTCGGAAGCCTGCCTCCTAAATATTCTTAATTTTGTCGATAGGGGCACCTTTAATTTTTTTTTTTTAAAGGGCCATACAAAACATGTTTGTTGGTGGTTGGCGGGTGCTCTGGTGTAGTTATTTCTTCTTTCCTATCAAACGGTTATCGTTACTATATCTCCTCTTTCTTTTTGGTGTTTGTTACTCTCTTGTAACATCTCTAATCTTCGGAACTTGTATGACCTTTTTGTGTTGCAAGTGCCTTAAAACTCTTACTAAAACTAAACTTTAAAAATATGTTAAATCTGTCCCCAGGTGTTTGTGTTTGTCCACGGAGGAGGTAATCAGAACGGCTTCTCTGACCTCTATGTCCCCGGGTCACTCGTGTCCTGGTTTGACCTTGTGGTTGTGACCTTCAACTACCGTCTTGGCTTCCTGGGCTTCCTCAGCACTCAGACGCCGGCCTGCCTGGGGAACTTTGGCCTGTGGGATCAGATCACGGCTCTGAGATGGGTGAAGGACAACATAGCGTCCTTCGGGGGTGATCCTGACGCGGTGACGGTGAGTGCGGATAGATAGATAGATAGATCGATAGATAGATAGATAGATAGATAGATAGATAGATAGATAGATAGATAGATAGAT